TGTGTGTGTGTGTGTGTGTGTGTGTGTGTGTGTGTGTGTGTGTGTGTGTGTGTAGATAATATTTAAAAAATTTCCTACTTTAATTTTTAATATGAGAGAAATCATTTCAGTCTTTCTTAATTATTATATATATAGTAATTATAAAATATTTCAAAAATTTGAAATGAAAATAGATATCTAGCATTAATAGGATGATTCAGTATAATCTAGGTGATTTCTGACGTCATCATAAAGAAAGTTTACGTAAGCGTGGATGTGATTCCGAGTAATTACAGAATTATATAATATTCTAAGAAACGTATCTATGATTTCACAATATTAATTTATTTATTTAAACTTTTTTCGCGTAATAGTAATAGTAATAATAAACATATTTTTGCATATAAAAATAAAGAGAGAACGCAACAAAAAACAAACTTTATTATTTTATTCATTGTTTGTAAAATTCTTTTGTTTTCCTTTAAGGTTAAAGTAGCCATATATCCGTAATTCTTTAGAATCATTAATCCATGATTGTTTTTTTTTACTATTGAGAAAATTTCTTCAGGAATTAGATTCTGAAGTTATGCTGTGTAAAATATTGAGTACATTGTATACTTGTTTATTGTTATCCAAATGTTTTTAAGCTTTTTCGAGTAAATTTTTTTTCAAAACTGATAATTCCATAATACGTACAATATTTAATTATATTGAGTTACTTAATCTCATATCGTATTTAATAAAGACATATGTTAATACTTGTACATTTAAATATATTTAAAATATGTCTGAGAAGATACATAAAATATATGAAAAAGGTATGTTAATGATTAGAGTCAATAATAAAAGAGTATTATATATATTCAGAATACATTTCTGAAATCAAATATATTTAGAGTTTATTTTACGATTCTATTTATAATGTTTTCATTAGAAATAAATGTATAATCAACCACAGAACAATAATTGTCGTTTTTACTAATTAAGTATACCTTCAAATTATTGCTTATAGTTTAAGTATTATAAAGAATTGTATAATTTTGTTTTACAGAAGCAGTCACACGGAGGAGAAAAAAGTGGGAGTATTAGTTGGCGGTAGATATAACAGGTGCATAACAGAACGAGAGTTAAGACTATGTGCGAAAGCATGTAATCTCGTATGTTAAGTTTTATCCTTATTAGTGCGAGAGAGGATATCCATCAATCCATATACGAGTATGCATTACATGTTCGTAGAAATAATCAAGTAAGGATAAACGATAAAAGTAAAAGATTGTATAATGCTGTAAGAACGCGAATACATGCGCACCATTCTGTCCGCGAAAAAAGATCATCTTTACTCTCTCTGTTTGTCTCTCTATCTGTCACGATATAAATTATGTTATAATATAAATAAATGTTATATTACTGCTTCTTTGTAATACATATATATATATATATATATATATATATATATA